AAACAATACACAGATAATGTATCATACAATTGTACACTTGAAACCTCTATATATGTATTAACCAATGTTACCCCAATAAATTCAATATTTTAAAAAACAGAATTTTAAAATGTACATTGATAAAGGAAGAACACTGGGAAAAAAATAGCAAACTGTTAGTTGTTTTGTACAGGTGATTTTTATTCTTTATATATTATACATTTTAAAATATCTGTGATGAATATATAATATGAATATAATTATAGAAATAACATACTTGTGTTTAAGAATAGAATGAGAACTTGGGAACTGAAAGAAAAATGAAAAGGCTCAATTAGTAAAGAAATATTAAACTTTTCACTCTATTTCCTACCAACCATTTCATAGTCATAACTTAAAGACACTAAAGTTTGCATTAAATTAAGGATCTGGACATTTGTTTCCTTAGAAAAATAATACTGATTCTCCAGAAGATTCTCAAACTATGTCTCCACTAATTCAAGCATTTTAATGGCAGATAATTAGCACCATTGGAACATACAGAAGTATTAAATACAGCAAGTTCTCTATATTTCCAGGTGAAACTTTTCAGCAGTTTTAAAAATCATTTATATTGATGATCGATCGGCTGCCTTATACCCTCCTAGTGGGGACTCCAAAACCTGGGTATGTACCCTGACTGGAATTGAACCGGCGACCTTTTGGTGGATTGGATGATGCTCAACCAACTGAGCCACACTGGCCAGGGTGAAAATTTTGAGCAGCTTAATGATGTATTTGTCCATATTCATTTGCTTGCAACTTCTCCAAAATGTCATCAAGTGGTTAGTTGTTAAGGCCAACACCATTTATTTTGACATTAGAAAACATACACACACTTTCAAACACTTCAATACAAAATAAAAGAAAATAATTACATTCCATTGTAAATAAATAAAAAGAGTAAAAATGTTTTCTCAAGTCTAATGTAATCTAAAACTCAGGAGTTCTTTTTTTAGAAAGCATGATATAAAGCAGTAGTCTTCAAACATTTGTGCTCATATGCCCCCTAAAATATTTAACAAATAAGTGGTGTCTTGTGCATATTTAAGTTATATGAAAATTTTCATAAGTTTTAGTTACAAAATACACTAGTATAATTTATGCTGTTATAAATATTGACTTTCTAAAATGAAATTTAAATCAATCTTTCAAATGTACCCCATGTAACATTAAAAGCATACTAGATAGATACCTAGTATTCTTCTAAAGTAAAATATTTAAAACAAAAGAATTTGTATTTCCTTTCTACTTTCTTCACAGAATTTTATCCATCTTTGAATCTCAGAAATCTTGTTTTTTAATATATTTTTATTGATTTTTTTTTCAGAGAGGAAGGGAGAGGGATAGAGAGTTAGAAACATGATCAGCTGCCTCCTGCACACCTCCTACTGGGGATGTGCCCACAACCAACATACATGCACTTGACTGGAATCGAACCTGGGACCTTTCAGTCTGCAGGCCGACATTCTATTCACTGAGCCAAACCGGTCAGGGCTCAGAAATCTTTTCTTGGTCACTCTGTTATACTTCTCTGAAGTAAACTTACACAAACAAGCATACACATTTATATTGAAATTACCTTTCAATTAAATTTCTTTGACCATAAGGCCCCAATTTTTTTTAATCATCTGGATTGAATTATCAATACAGCTATTATGAGCACATAATGGATCCAAACAACAACTAAGGTATAAATTTTTACATAAAACCATTACAAATAAAAGGTAAAGTTTAATTGGAAAGGTATCTCTCTCTTTTTTTAATATATTTTATTGATTTTTTACAGAGAGGAAGGGAGAGAGATAGAGAGTTAGAAACATCGATCAGCTGCCTCCTGCACATCTCCCACTGGGGATATGCCCACAACCAAGGTACATGCCCTTGACTGGAATCGAACCCGGGACCCTTCAGTCCGCAGGCTGACGCTCTATCCACTGAGCCAAGCCGGTCTCGGCTGGAAAGGTATCTCTTAATGGTATGGATTGGGGTGGGGGGAATCGTGTTTATGAAGCCTTGGTTTAAAAATCTGTTGAATTGCCCCTTTGTTTGAATCGTTCCCAAGAAATGCACCTTACAAAAATTCAGGCTACGTGAGAGGTTTAGGTAAAGTTAGGAGAATGGGGATACAGAGGTGAGAGAGAGGAAAAGAGAATGGCAACTCACCCCAAGTAGCATCTTAGGCAGATCAACTTAAGGAAGCGAAGGATTTGGAAACTGATCCTTGATAACATTCTGTCCGCCACCCCTTCACTCCCCCACACACATCCACTGTACCCCTGGAAAGTCTCTGCACCCTCCTCAGGGATCCCCATCACAATCTGAATGCCACTCCTCTAAGACCCCTAGGAACAGCGTTGCTAAGTTGAGCCGCACTAAACAAGTAATTTCCCTGAATCACAACTTCGACTAAAGAGCTGATCTTGAAAGTTTCTGACATGGTAACATGGTACATTTCAAATCTGCTTTTTGACGGCGTGGCTAGCCGGTGTTACAGCTGGGTGTTATCTGAGCGATCACACCCCATGAATCAGCTGACTCATTCTATGCATGGCCAGATTCCCTAGAAGCCATATACGGGCATCACAGCATAATAGCTGGATCTGTAAAGAAGAGCTCAATTGGGAGCAGAGACCGCTATGGAAAAACACGAGCGAAAGAAACAGGTAGCTTTTCCATGTCAATGTTAAATGGGTGAAATGGTCTCTTAAAACCGTTCAAAGAAACTCTCAGTTTACAAAATAAACGCTGTGCAGTCTTACTATTGCTCATCTTAAAACCTAATGAATAGGGAGGGCCCTCATCCTGTGAAATATCCTAAAATGTTGGGCTCATTGTCGTGCCCAGGTAGGTACAAGCTTTAAGCAGAAAAGCTGCCAGAAAGGATATTTTTGGTGTTCAGTCTCTGCAGATACGAGATGACCTTGTTCTGGAATGTCAGTGTGGCTTCGCACCCACAAACATCTCTTATGGAGGTGAGTCTTGCTGCTTCTTGAACGGCTGATGACAATGACAGGACATGAAATGCTGTGGTTAATTAGAAATCATAGCAAGTCTGGAAATCCATGATAGTTCCATTTTTAGGACTTACCTAAATGCATTTTCTGAAAGGTAAAAGGATATGGGAGCACACGCAAAGAGGACAAAACACTTTGGAATGTTAATGAGCAGAAGAAACTGAATTAGGAAATGCTGGGGACAAAGCTACAATTGTCGAAGCTGGGTGATGGCTATACGTGAGCTCATTATATTTTCTCTGTACTTTTGTGATTGCCTGAAATTCTCCATGATACAAAGTAAATTTTTAAAAAGATAGTGTAGCGGGAAGCCAAGAACGCAGAGATAAGACAACTAATCTTGTGATACTGTGTCCTCATTAAAAAATGAAAATGCGCCGAAACCGGTTTGGCTCAGTGGTTAGAGCATCAGCCTGCGGACTGAGGGGTCCCAGGTTCGATTCCGGTCAAGGGCATGTACCTGGGTTGCGGGCACATCCCCAGTGGGGAGTGTGCAGGAGGCAGCTAATCGATGTTTCTCTCTCATCGATGTTTCTAACTCTCTATCTCTCTCCCTTCCTCTCTGTAAAAAATCAATAAAATATATTTTTTTTAAAAAATGAAAATGAGGAAAAACCTCTATTTGTGCAGCCAAAATACTTCAAGGTTTAAAACTAGATAATTCCTGATTTCCTATGTGGACTCTTATTCTATTGAATTGTTTAAAATGAGAGTTCTTACCCGTAAATACTTCGGGTTTGGGTGGGTTTTTTTAATCTTTATTGTTGAAAGTATTACATATATCCCCTTTTTCCCCCGCATTGGCCCCTTCCAGCATGCACCCATCCCCCAGCCCCCCACCCCATAAACACTTTGGAACTAAAGTTGCATCGACATTTAATCAAAGAACCCGGGAGAAGAATAATGCTAACTCCTGTTTCTTTCTGAAGTTCAGTGAGGCAGCTATTCCTACTCAATCTCATAGCCTCTGAAATTGCTAATAGAAATAAGAATAACCTCCCAGGTCTGAAGTGTAACCTTGCAATGGAGCGGCACTACTGCCTGAGGACGGGCAGTGGGCCTTTGCTTACATGTTCTCCCACATTCTACAAAGATATGATATAGGGCCGGGGGACCAAAACACGCTTGATTAAATAGAATCTACCTACCTGTCCAAACCCTATTGAACCTTTTAGGGAAGGCCAGCTCAAATCCCATCTCAATCAATTAGTAAACCAGAATATAGCTACTGGATGCAGTACAACCCCATCCAGCATCCCAGTACAGAGGATAAAATTGGTACTTAGGATACTTTTTCAGTGTATGTTGCCTGAGAGACTCTAAGCTCTGTGAGGGCAGGGGCTCAGTGGGATGTTCTCATTAACAGATCCGATAGAAAACCAGACAACTTCGATGGAGCACAATTGAAAGTTGGGAGATGGACTCATTCACAATAGCAGTGAAAAGAATAAAAGATTTAGGAGTAAATTTTAACAAAAGAAGTGCAAGACTTGTACACTGCTCACTACAAAACATTGGTTTCTCTCCAGTTCCTTCCTCAGGACCTAACAGTACCCGACATGTAACAGTAGCTCCATGAACAGCTGCTGAACAAATAACTCAGTGAATGACTGGGCAAATGAGGTCAGAGCCTAAGCCATTATAAATCACATCGGAATCCCATTTTCCAGGAGTAAAAAAAAAAAAAATGCCCAAGAGTGATTTTGCTTTTTAATTTGAGAGAGAGAGAGAGAAAGAGAGAGAGCGAGGAAACCAGATCATGGAAGGAGTAGAATCATTTCATTCTGATGCCAAGTGGGAACCCCTGAGGAATTCCAACAGGAAGAACGTGCCTCAGACTCTGAGAGAGAAGAGCTTACTCCTAGGTTGTCCTACTGAATGAAATAGGATTAAAGGGCCAGTCTTTACCTGAACACGTCTTCTTGTCTTCATTCAGGGTGAAGCCAGTATGACAGTCGCAGTGGTAGGACGCGGCCCCATCACTCACACAAATGTGCTGGCAACCGTGAGAGCCCAGAGCACACTTGTCAAGAACTGACCAGGAAGAGAAACAGTCACAAATTACAACGGGAAACGAAGCGCAGACTTCTGGGAGAAAAGGCTTTGGTTCGATCCCAACAAGTGTCAACAGCAACAAGTCTCCCCTGTTCCACAAGAAGAAAGCCTACTTTCTTGTCTCATATCTCACATCCCCTCGCCTGCCTTTGATTGCATACACCCCTTTCCTTTTTTTTTCTTGCCCATATCTGGGGGTGCTGCTCTGTTTTCCTACCCGCAGCACTGGAGCTACACTGAGTCTTGATTATACTCCAGAACTCACCTACAGAACTTTACTGATGACCACCAATGCCTCCAAACATACATGGAGCTTCTTCACCACCACTAAATTATTATTAGGGACCCACCTACACATGGAGCTAAATTTGATGCTGCACAAAAAGGACTCGAATGATGGAGGGCCTGCCTTTGATGGCTTACAAAGTGGGACAGAAAGCACTGGCCTGCACACACACACACACACACACACACACACACACACGATGATGATGACATGTATGAGTCCGCCATCTTGTCTTTCTCTTCTACCTCCCTTTGCTATCTTGTGCCCTGCACCATGAGACAGTATAGCTTCATGTGATGAGCACATGTATCCCCGAGCAAGTACGTGGGTTCAAATCCTGGCTCTGCTACTCATTAGCTGAGTGACTGTGGACAAGTTAATCTGCCTGTCCTGTTTAGTGGGAGTATTGCAGAAGTAGTCCGCCTAGATTGAAAATTGCCCTTGATGTTTTGTGGGTTTTCTTCAATAGAAGGTTCCTTCATTCCACATCTGTTAGCTGAAATGTACATTTGTTTTTGTGTCCTTTTCCCAGGACTTCAGTGTTCCTGGCAGCTTACACTACCAAGTAGGATACTGGTCACGAATTGAGAAGTGCACCCCTCCTGACAGCCCTACCGCCCTGGACAAGCCAGCACAAGCCAGTCCCCTTGCCTGGTCCATCCTCCACCCTCCATCAAACTGTCACCATCCTCCAAGGTCCACCGTCAGTCCCACCACCTCTGTGTCGCTCATGTGGACGGAAAAGGGGCCACATACTAAACCTGACAAGCTCAGGGGAGGCCTGTGTGGTAGCCTTCCATACGCAGAGATGGAAAATAACCACATAGGAGAGTTTGAAATTAAAACCTTCTAACTAAAAGCAGTTCACGGTAGGTAGTCATGTTCTAGGGCAGTATTTTTCCCAACAAAGGTCAACCTTCACCTTAACTGAGGCTGTCCGTTGTCTTTTTGAATGGAAGATAATATGCCTGATAGCATGCCTTTGGAATATCAAAGTAATTCTTTTTTCCAGACCCCTCAAAGCACAACCACTGCACCAGAGTGGAGATCACAAATCCCCTCATTGTTATTATCATGCTAATGTTACTATCCTCTACCCACCTAGGGAAAAGAAGTATGTGTCTATTCCTTTTACTTGTATGCAAACGCAGAGATTTCCCCACTTGGCATTCTCCAGCCTCCCTAATCTATCACCACTGGACTTCATGTAACTCCCTTACGTCTTCCGATTCTAATGTGTAAGGTAAGTGGTGACCCCTGGCTGGTGTGGCTCAGTTGGTTGAGCGTCATCCATGCACTGAAGGGTCACCAGTTTGATTCCTGGTCAGGGCACATACCCAGGTTGCCTTCACTTACAGGAGACAACTGATCAATGTTTCTCTCATACATCGATGTCTTTCGGTCTGTCTATCTGTCTCTCCCTGTCAAATCAATTTTTTTTAAGTGGTAAAACTGCCATTTTCTGGAGCATCTTCTCTACCCACTGAGATTCTGCTTCCCAGCAATTGTCAGTTTGGCACAAATAAATTCATAAAAATTCTTACAGGTTTGGACGTTTCTTACGTTGACACTGACTAGAGATAACAAGTGGACATGGCCTCCATCCCCAGCCCTTAGTTACCATCAGTCCCTCTCCTGGCTACTTAGTCTCTGCTTACATTTTTTTTTTGTCTCTGCTTACTTTAGACATTGGGTCTCTTTGTACCCAGCCCGTAAAGAGAGGCAGAAACTTATGCTTTATATCCGAACAGTGCTTAGCAGTCCTGGGGACAAAATAGGTGCTCAGTTCTCTTTCATTGATCCCATTTTTTCACAGAAGAAATTGGTGATAGCCATTTCCCTTGATCCCTCTTGTAAAGGACACCCAATATATCTCCTCAAGGGAGAGGAAACTATACATCAAATCTAAAAAAAAATATGCCAGAACTAAACACCACCTGGAGAGCTAGAAGTTTCTCCTAGGAGTGTTTTTACATTATAAATGCCACTGTGTTCTGCCAGTGCGTTTAAATCAAGTTAATGAGGATTGGAGTTCGGGCATGGGCGCGCTAGCCAAGTCTCAGATGCTTCGAAGATTGATCATCTAGAGAGTGTCAGGGAGCGACTTGCCGCAAACTTACTGGAAGATCCGTGTGGGTCTCATTCAGTCGTTTACAAAGTCTCCTTTACTAACATGATCCAGCTTTAAGATTAACGCCACAGAAGAGTTCAAAGCCAAGTTTTAATTGGAAAAAGATCAGTTCAGCCTATCACACTAAAGAGTTCCTGTCCAACTGACTTCCTCTAAGGTTTCCCATTTGCTTTACAAGCCCCCAGTGTACAGAGCTACAAAATGTTCCTGGATGAGGACCCTCCATTCACGGAGCTTTCCTCATATCCCCCACTCCCGACCCACTGCCCAGTCACTTTCTGAAGTCATCCCTGTTTGCTGACTCTGCTGAGCTCACTGCCCTGTCAGCGACGCATGCCTTAGTCTGCGAGCACAGTAGAAGGTCTGCAGCCTTACTCTTTAAGTTGCCTTGAAGAATCTCTCTCAGGAAATTGCAAGTTGGTTTCCCTGCCATAGAAAGGAGCCAAGTGTGAAAGAGTTTGTTGAGTGTGCCTTACCTGAGCAGGTTTTGTTATCTTGACTCAGGGTGTAGCCCTCGTAGCAGTCACAGTGATGGGACCCAGCTCCGTCGTTCACACAAATGTGCTGACAGCCATGTGTCCCTAAAGCACATTGATCTTGAGCTGCCAGACAAAAGCCCAGGAGAGAAGAAATTCAACAAAATAAAAACATTCGCTATATTACGTGTATACGGACATTTCATTTGCAGCCAGAACATGTCAGAAGCAAACCCCTTTCAAAGGCATCAGTTCCATTTGCTCTTACAGGAAGCCAGCTGAGTTCAACAAAATCCGACACACACAGTACTCATTCTTCTACTTTCCCAACTCCTTTTCAGAACCATCTAGATTGAATTTTTATAGTCTAAATATATCATAAAATGCTTTCTAAAGCATTCTTTTTAGGTTTATTTGTACTTTACTGAATGAGAGCAATACCAACAGTTGGGTAGCTACTTATACTAGATTCAGAAAGACATAGAGTTTGAAGAAAGTGTAGTTATAAGTGAGGAAACTGAGTCCAAAGGAGACCCACTGACTCAGAACAGCATCAGAACTAAAGACCCAAATGCACTCAGTGCATTTATTCTCTGAACTGCCATGAGATTTTTTTAATTACTCTTTTTCTTTCTAAACTTTTCACTTTGAAATAATTTCAGGTGTATGAAAAAGCTGCAAAAATGGAACAGAGCGGTCCTGTTCTTCATCCAGTGTCCCCAAATGTTAACATATTAAATAATCATAGTGTAATTATCAAAACCAGGAACGTAACACTGATACAATACTATTAGCTAATCTATAGATTAGCTCATTACTAATCTAACTAAGCATTCAAATTTTGCCAATTATTCCACCAGTGTCCCTTCTCCGGCCCAGGATCCCACACTGCACTAAGTTGCCCCGTCTCTAGTCTCCTCCAATCTGTAATATTCCTGCCTTTCGTTGTCTTTCATGACTCTGACACTTTGTAGGGTATCTCTCCGTCTGGCTTGGTCTGATGTTTCCTCGTGATTCTGAAATTTTAGCAAGAATACCACAGAAGCGCTCCTGTGGCCTCCGTACACGGTGTCAGGAGATGCGTGATGTCACTCTATGTCCCTGCTGTGGATGTTAACTTGGGTCACTTGGCGAAACTGGTGTCTGCCAGGTTTCCCCACTACCCCACTATGATTTCCCCTTTGTAAGTGATAAGTATCGTGGGGGGTGTTATTTGATTTCAGCTGACTACATTGTCTTTAGCCTTCGGAAAGGACTGGTAGAGCTGGCACAGAGAAGGAATGAACAACTCTCTTCCACAGGCGGGCCGCGATACATACATACGGCCTTTCCTACATTTTCTCACAAGACCTAGAGGTGGGAAAAGCCAGGGTGGCAAGAGAGGAAAACAGATGAAGTTTCCCATCAGTGTGACCCGCCCTCCGCCACTGCTCACAGTGCCAGGCAGACAAAGAGGTGGCAGCAGTGGAGCCTCCTTCCCGCGTACCTGCACACGCTTTCCTGTCTTCCTTCAACATGTAACCTTCGTGGCACTCACAGTGGTAAGAGCCAGCTCTGTCGTTCACACAGATGTGCTCACATCCATGAGTGTTCAGAGCACACTTATCGATGGCTATCAGAAATGGTCAGGACGCATGTAAACACATGGAAGCGTGAATCAATAATTACAGACCATACACAGATGCATGCACACACACATATGCACACACGCACATACACACATGCGCAAACACAGCTGTGGGCAGCTCAGCACAATAGGAAAGCTACGGGGCTGGAAACTGGGAACCAACTTTCTGGTCTCGGCTCTTTACTCACAGCCCCCAGGCCTGGGTGAGTCTCCCTTCTTTGGGTCTTAATTCATTATCTTTAAAATAAGTAAGTTAAATGAAATGATCTCTAAATTTTCTTCCCCTCAAAAACTTCTTCCCAGGATTTAAGTGGGCCTAGATCTCCTTCTTCATTGCCTGGTGTGAGTATTCCCATTCCCCATGAGCGAGGCCCTCTCTACGTTTTCTTCTAGACCCCATGAGCACTACGGCCACAAAGAGGAAAGGGTAGCTTTTCATGTAAATAAATAAAATCCATGAAAAATTCCAAACCCTCAAAAGGACCAAGAATGTTGTACCATCATAGGCTGATTTATGCATTCCCTCACTTTTCTTCTCATTTTCCTTTTGCTAAACAACAATACATCAGCCAAAAATCAATTAGGAGAAAAGCACAAGGCCAGGCCGAAACCTGGAGAGTAGGTCCCCGAATCTAAGTTCCGTTCAGCCCCCATCGCGTAAGCAGGCCTCACCTGAACAGGTCTTCTTATCGGCATTCAAGACGTACCCTTGGCTGCACTCACAGTGGTGCTTGCCGTCCCCGTCACTGACACACACGTGCTGACACCCATGTGTGCCAAGCATGCACGGGTCCACTGCTGTGCAAAGGAAATGGACAACAGTCAGTTGACGACAGACACGTAAACATTTCAGGTACTTTCTCCCAAGTCAAAAAGACATCGCTCTCTGGTTTCTTTCCGATTCCATCTTCAGTTCACTGCCAATTTTGACTATTTGTTTCTGTCCTGGCTAGAAACACCATCCTTAAACTAGTCATGTTACTAATTTTAAATCACAGATCTTATTGTTAACTTTCGAAGAAAAAAGAAGGAGTGCTTACAGATCTCCATTTATACAATGGAATACTACTTTGTTAAAAAGTTAAAAGAAGAAGAAGGAGGAGGAGGAGGAGGAGGAGGAGGAGGAGAAGGAGGAGGAGAAGAAAGAGAATTCTTATGGGTCAATTGGATAGTCATTCAACATATCCACCTACCCATGAAAAAAAAACTTTTGTTTCCCTAAGCCAGAAACAGGGGAGATGATCATGTGTTTCCTGAAGTTCTATGAGCTGACTGTCCCATTGCCGCTGGAATCTGGTTTCTGGGGGTTCTACGGGGTGTGTCTAAACAGAATTCATACACAGGCGCATTCCTCTAGGCCTAGAACTCGCTCACACGTGGGCATATATGAACTTAACAGTGGGGAATGGCAGTGCAGGTAACTGCCTTCTGAATAGGCAGCAAACTTAAACATAGGCAACTTCAGGGCCTCTGATATCAGTAAGGAGAATGAACTCTGTCGCTATAACACAAACAGGTAAAAAGAAAATAAACTCGACTCCATCAGCTAAACTGCATCTCCACCTTTTCCCTTCTAGAGCCATTCATATGTCATTGGCTTGTTTTCCTGGTGAGATGTTTTGGATGAAGACTCGGTGAATTTAGTCATTTCTGTTGGAGGGGGCTGGGAACCCTGGGGCAGGTAAGCAGCCTCCACTGCTTTGGCAAGAGGACAAGCCTCATATTTTCCCAAGAAGAGCCTTTTCATGGGATGATCTTTCTAGTCCGTGAACAACAACAAGCTGCTTTTGCTCCTCAGTCTTTTCCCCAGAACAAGCAGGTCCTTTGTACCAGAAGGAAAAGATCGCCGCTCACCACTTATTACTCTATGGCCGTCAAGCCCAACCCCAGGTGCTGGTTGTGAGAGCCAACTTTGCCACAGACCAACGTCTCTCTGGCAAGCTCTCACCCACCCACAAGCACAGGGGGTCTTCCTGGGAGAAAGACGGCCATTTTCCTTTGGGAAAACCAATAAATGCCAAGTAGATGCCACCAAAACCAACGACTGCTTGTGAGCGAGAGCCCAGTGTCCTGGGACAGGAAAGACAAGGGGATCCCAGCCAGGTCTGGCTGAGATGAGGCCAAGCTTAGCTCCAGACCAAGCTTCATCTCCCATTTCCTGACGGACGGGTGATGGCTGAGTTTCCCTTTGTTTAGATATAGAGTCTCCTTGAAATACACGGTTGTAATTATTACTTCACTGGTTTGTCTCATCCCCACCGCCAACCTACTGCTTGATGGTAGGGAGGGACAAATTGTGTCATCAGTGGTCAATAAATGCCTGTTAAGTAAATAAATGTGGAATAGGTTATACAGCAAAAAGTATCTACATTTTAAAATTCACCTTAACTAGAAATTTGTCTACACCAGCTTGGGGACTTCCATAGGGGGCTCCAAAAGATTATCTCCAAATGACAAAAAATAATAATAATAAAGCATGATGATAGATATAGATGATAGATAAAAAAATGAGTTTGAAAATAAAATAAAAAATATAGTATAAGTCCCACATTCAGAATTCTGATCAGTGACTAATAATAAACTCCAGCCTCAAATGGATTCAGATGTATGAATGTGGCTAATTCATGCTAAAAATTCCGATTTCAAACTCCATCGTAAAGGAAGAAATGAGAATGACAGTAACAGAAGGATTTAAAAAAAACAAACAAGCCCTGGCCGGTTTGGCCCAATAGATAGAGCGTCGGCCTGTGGACTGAAAGGTCCTGGGTTCAATTCCGGTCAAGGGCACGTACCTCGGTTGTAGGCTCCTGGGGCATGTGGGAGGCAACCAATCAATGTGTCTCTCTCACATCAATGTTTCTCTCTGTCTCTCCCTCTCCCTTCCACTCTCTCTAAAAATCAGTGGGGAAAAATATCCTCAGATAAAGATTTAAAAATAAAATAAATAAATTGTTATTGTTGAAAGTATTACAGATGTCCCCTTTAAAAAAAATAATAAAATAAAATAAACAAGCCCTGCTCCTTCTACCTGTGAAGTGAGCTGAAATCCCAGTCTCCTGATTCCTGATCCTGTCCCTCCATGAAGAATAGTCAGAGAAAGAAGTGAACCTCAGAGCTGGAGCATCACTGAATGTCCACTCTGCCTGCCAGTTACGCTGAAGCAGGCTGCCTGGCCCCCGCCTGGACACACGCGGGCCCTGTCTTCTGCAGGAACAAGAGGAGTTCTGTAAACTCGAGACATGGTAAACGAGAGAAAATATCGGGGGAAATGCAGGGGTGGGCAGGAGGGAGGAGAGCAGTCTTGTGTGTTTTATTTTTATTTTTCTCTGACCCCATCAGGGAACAGCATGATCATTTACCCAGGATTATTTCCAGACCTTCCCATTTCTAATGCAAACATGGAGATTTTAGGAGCAGTCCAAGTTATATAGAAGGCAGCTCTATATTCCTAAACCAACAAAGTGTGTTTAAGTTGGTAATAAAAAAAAAAAGACACAAAAAGCATTGCTTCTATTTAAAGCTTTCCCTAAAATTTCCACCCAAAAAAAAAGAAAAAGAAAAAGGAGAGAATTCTTTCTTTCTTCTGCTTCATAACGTTTGACTATAGCATCCTTGCTAGTGGCAGCGACTTACCGCAAAAGGTTTCCTGGAACCTAGAGGACAGTTTCTCGATGACCCCGTAGGTCTCCACGTAGAACACGTGCTCGTCCAGGGGTTCGCTGGCCATCATCCTGAGCGACTCCCTGTCCGCCCGGTCCACGCCCACCGCATAGAGCTCAATGCCGGCCGCCCGCGCCCGAGCCGCCACCTCGGCCACCTGGTCCTGGGGCCGCCCATCGGTCACGATGATGGCTACCTTCGGGATGTTCGAGCTGGGTCCCCGGGCTCCCGCCTCCACCGTGAAGGCTTTCTCCATGGCTGTCTGGATGGCCAGGCCCGACATGGTGCCTGTGGACAAGGGCGCGATTCGCCCCACGGCCTGTTTCAGGGATTTCTTGTCCAGGTGGGTCTGGAGATGGAACTCGATGTTGACGGTGCTGGCGTAGTTCACCACTGCCACCCGCGTGTCCGCTGCCCCGATGTCCAGGTTGTCGATTATCCGGGAGACAAAGGTTTTCACTTTGGTGAACTCCAAGGGCCGTACACTACGAGAACTATCGATGATAAACACCAAGTCCAGTGGTCGGCTCTTGCAAAAACCTGCAAGGAAGGTGTGGGGAACAGAAGTGACTAAGCAGTGATCTGACCACAATCAGAAATGGAGCAATTCCTCACCCCCAGCTCTGAGGCCGGAGGTCAGTCAGGGCAGCATCCGCTACCTCCCAATGGACCACTGTCGGCTACCTTCCCCATTCCCCAAGACCGTCTCCCTTTGGATGTTGAGAGCCCCTAGGCCTTCCGAATCCCCTAATGAGAAGTCACACAAGGCTGTGAATTACATCATTTAATTTTCCCACTAGGGCAGTGGTTCTCAACCTTCCTAATGCCGCGACCCTTTAATACAGTTCCTCATGTTGTGGTGACCCCCCAACCATAAAATTATTTTCATTGCTACTTCATAACTGTAATTTTGCTACTGTTATGAATCCCAATGTAAGTATCTGATATGCAGGATGTATTTTCATTGTTACAAATTGAACATAATGAAAGCATAGTGATGAATCACAAAAACAATATGTAATTATATATGTGTTTTCCGATGGTCTTAGGCGACCCCTGTGAAAAGGTTGTTCGACCCACAAAGGGGTCGCAACCCACAGGTTGAGAACCGCTGCACTAGGGGCTGGAAATTGATGCTACTCTAAGGCTACCTACCCCAATATCGCACCTGTAGGCTGGCTGAGCCCTTAAATTTCACTTAGAACCGCATCCCTTCGCTTCAAGTTTTGTACTCAAGGTTCCTCTTGACTCCCAGGAACGAGTGGATTCCAGACCCTGCTTGGGCGCCTTGGCTACCTGAGGCCATGGGGCAAAGTGTCCCTGAACAGTGTGCAAGGTGAACTGTCGGGGCAGCCGCATTGCACGCCACCCTGCCCACTCCCATGGGGTGAACACTGCTCCAGAGCAGCCCTAAGTCTCCCTCTAGCTGGTCATTAATGCATGGTTAGTGCACTTGAGGGCCCAACTAGCCTGAGCTACATTGAAAGTAGAGAGAGGGATGACAACTTCGTCTGACTGAGGCATGTTAACTACACTTCCAACTCTGGGTGTTTCTTGTCTAAAGAAGCAGAGATGGAGATTCGGTACCAATCCCACGTCCCTGTCAAACTCTTGGTCACCTCTCTTTCATTTTTTCATTCACCAAAGTTTTTTGAGGGTTCCCCACCCCACTCCACTCTCACCCCGGCAGAGGTGGCCACGGAGCTGCTGGGCCTAATCAGGTCAGGAGGCTTAGAGAGAAGCCAGTTATTATTCCTCCTTTTCTCCCAACACACACACACACACACACACACACACACACACCAAGTCCTAACTAATGTCTTATCCCTGGACATTAATTGTCAATCAAAGTTCTTTTCCTTTCCTAATAGGGGCTGGAAGTTGATGCTACTCTAAGGCAATCTACTCAAGTGAGTGGGGATAAGGTAGATTCAAAATAAATTCCTAGGCTAAGCATGGGACAGGCATTATATAACTCTATAGTTTAAAAAAAAAACAAATCTGAAAATTATCCTGCTGCCTGGAGGTATTTGATTAAGGAAATAATAATATCCTACTACCAATAACACTTCAGAGACCACCGGGTACCAGCACAACAACCCTGTGAAGTCGGAGGTGCAGAGGCTGCTTTTATACCCATTTTACAGACAAGAAGCCTGGGTCTCAGGGAGGTGTAAGAGCTGGAAAGTGGTGGGTCATGGACTGGACTGCCAGCCCACGGGGCTTTTCCTTGCAGGATTACCTCTCTCTGAGGCAACGTCTCCCATCACAAAAGTCAACAGTATCTCCTGTGCCTGGTAAACACCCTGCTGCTCTGGGAGCTTTTTCCGCCGAATGAACCAGCTCCCGACTCAACGGGGAAATGGCATTGTTCCCAGAGACCCCCGAGCCCTGACTCCTTCCTTCTTGAACCTCCGTTTGCACCAGGGAGGGAAGGAACGCACCGACGCCCAAGCCGGGCTCTCCCTCCCACCGCGCCCCCTGCCAGGTGCCCCTCC